AATTTAATTATAGAAGAGAAAAATCTTGAAGGTTGACATATAACTTTCTTATACAATATAAAAGTACCAAATCAGGTTCCTGGTCATACCTATATAGAAGTCTATGATGAACAAGACTGGGATTAACCAACCAATGTGAGATAAGATCTGTAAGATAGTATGACATCACTGGAGTCAGTATAACTCTCTGGGGCACAACCAGAATTGTTCTGCAGGTATTATCAAATAAGCTAAAAGCTTTTAATATATAGTAGTATAATATTACTAAGATCAGAAAAACTTTCTAGATATAACCAGAATTGTTCTGTTTGTAAGCATAACAAGTTTTAGTCCCCATCATAGAAGGGAGCATCATGTTGGAGATTAAATGCAGCATCGAGTTACTGTATGACATTAAGACCTGGGACATTTGCAGGAATGGTGGCAGCAGACCTGGTTTGAGATATGGATTGGTCAAAAGACCAATGGTGGCAGCAGATCTAGCTTGAGATATGGGTTCTTTGCAGATTCTGAACTATTATCAGAACACCTTAGTGAAATCAATAACAAGCATACCAAAGATGGGAAGATTATAAGGATCAAACATACCAAATAGAACCAATTTGGGAGTAGTATAATGACAAAAAAGTGAGAAATATGAGGAATAAAGTAATACTAGATATAGTTAGATTAAGAAGCAGAAGAAACAAGACTAGGTAAAACATGTGAGTGGAACATATGGGTACGATTTACAGAAGACAGTACCCCTGGCATTTGAGATACCATATTAAGTTCAGTAGATATTCTTGTCTGTATAGCAGTTTAATAGTATGCCCTGATCACAAGTGGTTGTTAAGATAACTGCATGCAGGCATGCAGCGAATATGCATTTAGGTGCTATATAGGTAACTGAGTAAAGTTAATAGTGTAAAATTAGATAGTATATAGTACTAGTAATAATTGATTCTAAAAAATATAACTATAAATTTGTACTATATTAAATTAAAGCTAATAAACCAACTAGCATTGTCACCAAAGTTTAAAAAAAAAATATATATATATATATATATTAGATTTATTAATATTAGGTTAAGAATATTGAAGTACATTTGTAATAAATTAAAAATTATTTTATAACTGTTGTAGTTAAATATATATAAAAGCTTCTAGTAACTGAGAGTTGTTAATTCATAAAATAAAATTAAAAATATAATGTTGAAGTTAAATGTTTTAGATATTATGCACATTATATAGAAATGAATTAAGCATAATGCTATTCAGAATTGAATAAACTATATAGAATTTATGTTTAGCTACAGTTAGGTATTTAGCTAAAATTTTGTTGTATACAAAATAAGAAAGAATTATATTGTGTATTCAATATTCTAGTATAGAGATAATTATTATATTAATAATATAAATTATTTGTTTATTTATAATTTTTTTAGTACTAGTAATGTTTGTAAGCTAAAATGTTTCTTTTTGAATTAATTTGATTTGTGTTGTTTGTTTGTTGTTAAGTATAAACTAACAGACAAGAAATTTAAAAAATTAGTTAGCTAAAATAAATATAAGTATAGAATTAAAGAATTGAGTTGTAGTTTGGAATTGGTTAGCTATAAAAATAGATTTAAAAGAATTAATTTGAATATTGGCTATTTGATAGAAGAATGTTACAGTTTAGAGTATCTGTTTAAGTTCTAATTTAGATTGAAATATCCAAAGTGTATTATCTATATAAACTAAAATAAAAGTAAATATATTGATTTTTATATTATTAATTTTTCTAAAGCATAGGTTTTGGTGTCAGTTACTATAATGACTACAGTAGAAAATTTTTCTTGAATTTTAATTCTAATTTATCAATTAACTTTTTAATCATTATGCTTACAGTATTTTTAGAATCAAGTACAGCTATAACTGAGTTCCTTTTTATTCTTATATAGCAATGAGTGGCTGTGGTTTGTTTGTTGTAATTAAATTTGATGTGAGTAGTTTCTGAATTGAAAATAAGGGTCTATGCAAGATTTTGGCTAAGTTTAGATACTAATTTAGATATTGAAGCATTTGTTCTATAATGGCATTAGTTGACATCAACAAAATATCATCAGTCATGTTATATGAGATCAAGGTATAACAATTGATGGGTTCCTTCTACATTGAGATCTTCTTTCTAGAATGAATACATTATTTTTTATGAATTTGAGTCCTTCTCTCAAGTTTACCAAAGGTTGTTCATTGGCTTCTCATGGTTTTAATTATTTTTCTCAGTATCTACCTAGTTGTTCTTATGTTTTTTTTCTTGAGTAGTGTCACTAGTATTGGATTTGGGTTATCTTTATTCACAACATACATCTTGTCTTTATACTATCTATTGTTATTATTTTTATATTGATTAAGTCTCTCTGTATAGTTACTAACTTTTCTTGTTTCTTCAATGTTCCTTCTTAATTTTCTTGCTAATAAACATTTTTAAGTGATATATTTAATCTTATCACAATTATAGCAAATGATTTCTTTTTTGTTCTTATATAGTCTTTAGTATTTTTTTCGACTAAAGTATTCTATTTCAATAAGTAAAAGCAGTATAATTGAGAGCCATTTGCTTTATTTTTTTAGACACATTATCTAATTCTTTTAATTAATTTGTTTTGATTTTTTTCAATCATTTGCTTTTCATAATACTCATTTGCTTCTATTCTTTTTGTATTGATAAATGCCTTTTTTAGGTCTTCTGGCTCTAATACAGTTACAAATAACATAGTTTTTTTTCTCAGACTACTTAGAAATATTCAGATTACATATGTATCAGAGAGGTTATTATTTGAATCAAGTCTCTTTAAGAACTACTTAAATTTAATAATATAGATATTAACCTTCTTATCTTTTCTTTGTTGCAGATTATTAAGTTCAATTTGTTATCTTTGATGCTTCTTTAGGGTTGCAAAGAAGTCAATAAAGCTAAAGTAAAAGCTTTTTTTTTTATTGTTTTCATTTTTTTAGTTCTTCAGTTTATCCTTTTTTTCTTTATAGTAATTGGTAGCAAGACTCTTGAGATACCCAGATGTGATCTTTAGCATCTTCTTTTTGGTTTAATTGTTGGTTATTAAGACTCTTTTAAATGCTTTCAACTATTCAATCAGGTCCTCATTATTGTTTTTATAAAAAGGGTTAATTTTAATGAATGTCAATTCTCTTTTATTTTTAGGATCTTTTTTTGAATCTGTGATTGTTGTGACAATCTTGATTAATAAGTCAGTTAGTAACTTTAATAACTTCTTAAGTTGATTTTTATTCATGACTAAAGCAGTTTTGTGAATATTAGAGAAGTAGTTTTCTTTTTATTCTAGTTTTTGTATTTTTCTTTATTGATTAAAATAGTTTTTTGTTTATTTATTAAATCAGAAAAGAGGAAGAAATTATTGTTTCAGATTTCACAGTTATTACCAAATTAAAAATATAAAAGATTATTAGATTGGTGACTTCAAGATTAGGTATTTCATAGAACCACTTAGGATTAATATTAATTAAAGTGATTTGCTTGAAAAGTTGTTGGGTCTACTGATACATGATGTTTTTGGTTTAAGTAGATTAAACATACTAGTATACTTTTACAAGACCTCAAGTTAGGAACAAGTTATATAACAATGATTGTATTTAATAAAATTATTCACATATTATTATTTGAAAAGTAGTTTTATTTTAGGTAATTACGCATTATATGTGTTATATATTGGTTGCAAAGAGGAAATTATCCTTTCAAAGAGCCTTTTCAGTCTTTATTTATAATTAAAATCTTCTATGTACATTATGTAATAGATATGACTGATATCACTGATATTATTAATCAGTCATATCCTACTGATACTTCCCTTCCACTTGATCGCTACTATTTGCCACATTCGACGTATGCATCACATGCAACGAATGTGACAGATGTGACAGATGTGATCGACTCCTTTCCTAATTAGGTAATATCTCGCCCTGAACGGCCAGGATCTATTCAGGTCCCACATCCAGCAGATCTGTCTGGCTACCATTTTTTGAAGGTGACACTAGGGTCGTTATTTTTTTTCCATTTCAAAAATTTATGCTTACTACAAACCAATACCAAATTATATTCACTAAAATTTAAAAACCGCCACATCTAACATTGCTAGTTATATATATATAACAGTTTCAAATTAAAGTAAACACTGATTTCTGTTAAGGTCATAATGATTTAAGAATCCACCAGGGCAACCCTTCTTTTTTTTCGTCATGTGATGATCGACAACAAATTAGCCAATAATAAACCATAATTTGGTGTAATGTTACATGATCAAAACAAACGTTCACTTTGTCAAAATTCTCCTTTAAAATTTTGCATAAGAAACTGGTCTTTATGCTCTAACAAAAAAAATTCCTTGAGCAATTTTACTATAAATACCTTTTTATAACCCTAATTCTGAATACTAATTCTAATTTTAACGAATATTAAGTCATTTTGTCGATCATCACATGACCCGAAAAAACGGTGTGGATTCATGATTTAATGAGATCGTCATAATTACATAATACAGTACTTCGCCGACAATTATTTCACCGACAGATCATTTAACCGACATCACTGGCATATATTTTTGGTAAATTGTCGCGTGGTGTGATGGTGAAATAATATGAACCCCATTTAAACAACTACAAGATCAGGTGTAACGTGAAATCAAAACAAAAACTACCATTTTCTAAAAAAACCGCTGTAACTCAAAATTTCGTGTATGTAAACATCTTCTGCGCATTAGTAAAAAAAATTCTTTGTAAAATTTTAGTATAAAGCAAGTATTGCAATAATTATAAACCTGACCCAATGTACCGTTTATGATTTTTAAAAAAATGTCGATCAGTGAAAGTCTGTCGGTGCCACTAGGGTAGTTACATTTAAACCAAGTGCTTTCAACGAATAACTCTTATAAATATAATAGTCTTTGGAAAACTTTTCTAAGGTCCTGTTATGAATTATTATGTCAAGCTAAATTTATAAAATGTCTTCGGCCGAACATTACCCTGGCTACTCTGGTGAATTCATATGACTTTAACTTGGGACCCGAATATTATTCACTGATCTTTTGGCTCTTTTCTCTTGCTTTATAGCTCTTCGCTCTTTTTTTAATGAACATGAACATGTAAACTGGTCATATTATGAGTTTTTGACTCTTAACCGCGATGTCATTATATCTTTACCATCAAGTACTACTGATTGGAATGGCCTAGATGGTACATGGACTCGTAGATTTCTAATAAACGCGGAAATGATGCTTGAATCAAAAGACTATGAAGCTTTATTATTTAACCAAGGGAGCTCCTATCAGCCAATGTCCTGACTTAGGAGTATCAGTCAACGTCCTGGCCCAAGTGATGGTAGTGGCAACTCTGGTCAGCCAACGTCCTGATTTAAGAGTATCAGTCAACGTCCTGAGCCTTACCATTGCGAATCTATATTTTTTTTTATTTATAATTTCCATTTATTATTAACTGGAGTTAGTTATTCTATAATTAACTTTATTTAGCATTTCATTATATAATAGGTAGATTCCGAACGTTCAAAAGATGGATTGAAGGCCTATTGGGAAAACGTTATTCATTAACAGAAAAAAGTATATCAAGTCTTATGTATCATTGTTTTTGGCTTTTTAATTTTCTAAGCTACTATCAACCTTGGTTAGTTGAAAGTAAAACGTACCCACATTCTTGGGAGTCTTGATCTTTTAGATGAAGCTGGCAAACATAATGTCAAAGATCTTTTCTCTGGGGGGCTTTCAAATTCTTTTCCTGTTGGTATGTCATCTACAGCAAAGCATATACTTGAGTGTGCAAATGTAATTTCTCCTCAAGAGAATAAAAAGGTTAGTATAAGATGTAATTTGCATATAAAACAAATTCATCGTCTTATTTTTCTGATTTTGGATGTGTGTATAGATTAAAATGGGTGATCAAGCATCAGTTCAAGAAGATACTATTCAAGAGGACATGTTGAACTCAGTTATAGAAGCCTCCAATATCTTTAAAGCAGTTGAATTTCCAGAGTATTATGATAAACTCAAAAAATATGCAGTACCTGTAAGCAGAATCAAATTATTATATCATTGATCTAAATAATAAAGAAGTTTTAAAGAAGTTACATAATTTTTTAGATAATGATGGATTAAAATCATTATTTGATAGATTGATCTTGGAAGACGAAAACAAAATATATAAGTAAGCAGGCCTTCAAATATATGACATTATTTGATAAAATCATAGATGATTACTTATGGGATGATGATGACGATGGCGTAGTTGAGAAAAAATTTATTGAAACTGATGATGAAACCATTTCTATAATGGAGAAAGTAGTTTATAGTTTGGATGAATTGACAAAAAAATTCAATTGTCTATCTCATACACTTTCTATTCCAACAGAACAATATGAAGGATTTTTATATCCTGATGTTCATATTATTAGAAGCATTTCAAGCACATAAGTACAATTATAAGTATGGATGGAATTGATATATGTTTTTTATAACATTTAGTTATATTACTTCAAATAAGATATTCTTCATGTGAACGTACAATTTCTACGAAAATGGATTTTCAAACCATAGATTATAAGGCAGATGGGGTTGCAGAATTATTTGAAAGACCAAAACAAAGCCTCTTATTTGTACTTAAGGTTTCTGAAGAACCTAGCAATCTGGATCCTGATAAATTTAAAGATTATAGAGAAAAATTAATGAAAGAAGGTGTATTTGCACTAAATAAATTCATTATTAGAACTGGCCCGCCAACATACGAGGTGTGTAAAACTTTAGGAGTTTTCCTTGCACAAGGATTTGGTAAGTTATTTCAAATGTTAAAGTATAATACATTCTTAATTTTTAGCATTAACATTATTTATTATAGAAGATAACCTTGAGATTGGACAAATAATTTATATTGGACCCGGTTTATATGTATTTTCACCCTTTATGGATCCAAATCTTATTATTCCAACTTCTCCTTCCAATTTGGAACATGCATCCAGATTAATTCGCACACTCCTTTGCTTGCGATATAATGTGCTTAACAAGATCAAAAGTTTTCAGAAATTCAAAAAAAAAAGAGCCAACGATATATCATAAATCCAACATCGAAGTATACTACTGGATTTACACCTGATCGGCCGAAATTTGTAACATTTTCCAAATTTCTGCCCAAGGAAGAAACATCCGGAAAGTTGGATAAAATGAACAGGATAATGTGACTGGAGGAAGAGGAAGGGGCCGTGGAAAAGGAAGAGGCCGTAGTTCATAGTTTTACATATATCACCTTTGAGTGAGTTGAAAATTTTTTTTGCATAAGCAAATTGCTGTATTATATGCAATAATAAAAATAAAATTTCAAAATGTCGTTTCATTTATCTAAAAATATTGTTAATTGCTTTAATTTAATTTGATTGAACAATTTTCTATTTTTAGAACATTGCATTTTTAAAATTACTAACTTAATGTAGAGTAAAAAGCGCAATTCACATTACTAAGTATCAATACTTTAATTTGAATCAAAAAATCTTAAAGTTGACCAACAGATGACCAGTTTATTTATTTTTTATCAAAAAAGGAAATCAAAGTTGTAAATAAACTAGGTGCATAAAGATAGATGTTTAGTGTCAAGGCATTAACATTAGAGGCTATAACAATATGTTGTTGTTTGCTATATGTAAAATTTCATTTCAAAAAATTTAAATTGGTGCACCAAGATCGATTTAAACATTAGTTTTTGAATATTTTTCTTTTTTATTCTTTTACACATGTTCGGAATTTATATCAGACTAATTCCGAATAGTCAAGTTTTGTGCACTTCGATTGGCCATTCTCTTTTTAGAGGTTTGTATTACTTTTACTGTAATAACATTGAATATCCATTTCGAAAAATAAATTTAATTAATAATTCACGATAGAAGGAGAATATTAAGAGGGTGAGATTTTTATAATATAATAAAATATATTAATAAAGGAATCGTTATTCCTATCAATCCTACTTACTTTACCGACATTCATTTCATAGACAACACTTTGCGTAAAATAAACTGTCGGTGAAATGACTTGTAGGTGAAACAAGTGTCGGTGAATGATTGTCGATGAAGTGTTTTGTAAAGGTAGGATAGAATAGAATTAATAACAAATTATTGACCAGTGTATATAATTTACAGCGGAAACTTTTTTAATTAGCGAAAGTAACTTCTATAACTTACAAGTTATGAATTTAGTATATAAACTTATCAAACCAGAGCATGTTCATGAACTTTGAACTGAATTTGAACCAACATTTAAGTTCGGATTCAGGTTAGGATTCAGTTCAGGTTCAACTCAGTTCAGTTCGGGTTCATAGGTTTTGGGTTTGGTTCAGGTAAAAGTTCGGCTAAACCCGAACACAATCGAACTGAACACGAATTTCGGAATTCTACAATAAAATATTTTAAATTTCTTGCTGTATTTAAGAAATTTTTATAATTATATATATATATTATTAGATTAAAGAACTAAATAGATATACTGCCACCATGTAATATATAAAAAGATAGCGATACTGTATTAATAATTACATATACAGTACTAGGTGTGCGTTATTTTGAAAACAAATATACCCATGAGACTTATGAGACCCTTGAGAGTTTTAGAATTAAATAATAACGTATATTTATTATAAATTTTTGCGACACAATTAAATAAATTTAATAATACTTTCCACCTGATCTTACCTAATTGTTAGACTCAAAATTTTCTTTTATCGAACAGAACAAGGAAGAGTAAATAAGTAGATACCAATAGAAAGAAAAAAATTTAAAATTATACAAAAAAAGGGTATACAGTAACCAAAAAAAAAACGAAAGATTCTATTTAAACACACAACAAATAGTATATAGTATACAAGTTTACAATTTAATAACATTTTCATACAAAGACTTTTAAAAAGGGTAATATTAATAATCTACTCTAGTGTATTTTACCATGGGATTTTTAGGTTGAACCATCATAGTAGTGAAATCACAATCAGGAAATTTATTATTAAGTAATTCCAAATCAAAAATTCTAACCAAAGTAGCAATGATAGTTTTAATTTGTAAATAAGCAAATGGTTCACCAATACATCTATGACGACCTATTTTTTTAAAAAATATATATATATATATTATTGAAAAATTTAATTTAAAAAATAAATATAAAATAGAATAAAAATAATATTTACCAGCACCAAAAGGAAGAAAAGGAGATTTAGCACTAGTGGAATGAAGAGCACCAAAACCATAATCGATAAGATCATCATCACGTTCCTTATTTTGTAAATCAAAATCATTCCATCTATAAGGATTAAAATCTTCAGCATTATCAAAATAATCATTCGATCTTGCGGAAAGAGCAGGAACACATTGGATATAAGCATCTTTTGGAATAACATAATTTGAACCAGGGATTGGCATATCACGAACAACTTTTCGAATGATATGAAGAATTGGAGGACGTAATCTAAGAGTTTCACGAACAACATTATCATGTAAGGATAATTGTTTGATAGAATCATAAGTGAGAGGAACATCAAGAGAACCAAGAATTTTAATTTGTTCTTGACGAAGTTGATTAAACAAATCAGGAGTTTGAGCAAGGTAAAGAAGGGCCCAAGCACTAGTGGTTGAGCTTGTGTGTTGACCAGCCATTAACATAGCAATCATGATATGAGCAACTTCTTTATCAGATAAGTTTCTTCCAGACTTGTATTGACAATTTGTAACCAAATAGTGCATAAGGTCAGTACTACTATTTTTACCAGTGTCACGACGAGATTTCATTATATCGATGAAGAAATTACGCATTCTAACATGAGCTTTGTCACGTAATTTGTTAGAAGGTAAAGGTAAATCATCGAAAAGAAAATTTATTGGTTTGAAACCACCATCAAGGTCATGAAAGATTTGAGCAACTAATAAAATAATAATAAATAACAATAAAAAAATAATTAATTAAAATATTTTAAGTTTTACTTTAAATATAATTTAATACTTGCATGATTCATCTACTTTTGAACGAACTTCATCACCCAATAAACATCGAGAAGCAGTTAAAATAATTAATTCTGCCATTGCTTTATGAACATCTTGAATATCAGATTTCTTATTCCATCGAGAGAGATAATTTTTAGTTTCCATCTCTATCATTGGAACATAAGCACGCAAATTTTCTAGCGAAAGACCAGCTTTAACAAATCTAAAAATAGATTAACATAAATAAATAAATATATATATATATATCTTTTATATTTTTATGTTTTTTATACATAAATATAAAAGAAAAAATTTTGAGGAATAAATTACAAACTTTTTTTGTTCCATTAAAACAGAATTATGAACGTCGTAAACGACACCCGTTCCAAATACAGGAACAGTTAACGATTTATAAGCTTCTTCAGCAGAAGCATCAGCAAGTTTTGCATTAAAAACTAAATTATTTCCATCAGCACCTAGACAAGTAACCATTCTTCTACCAAATAAAATGTACGTATAATAATTTCCGTACTTTTAAATATAACATTATTAAACAAGATGTTAAAACAAGATTTTTTTTTTTTTAGACAAAATGAATGAATTATTACCTCTTTCTGTTTGTCTCTATAAAATTTAATAGGATCTATACCCATAGTTACGGCAGAACCAATAAATGGAATCCAATAAGGAACCATTGGTGGCTCATTTTGTCGAGGACTTACGTACTTTTATATATGAAAATGATATAACGAAGAGTCAAATAATTCGGTAATCTTTTAGATAATTATAACATAGTATATAAAAAAAATAAACAATTAATAATATTTACCATAGCTTTATATATAGTGCGTAAAAAAATAATGGAGACAAATACGAAACTTGCAGTCATTAATAAAATTGTATTAACGGTAGCACCTTTGAAAAAAGGAGCCAACGTTTTACTCCGAAGAGCAGTCGCATTAACATGAAGTGCAAAAGGCACCAAATAATTGGTATGAATTGATGAAAGTACTTCAGAGGCCATGACTAAATTAATTATATACTTTTGAGGAAAAAAGAGAATTAAAAAAGAAAAAAAAAATTTTTATAACGATAATGGTACCATTTTTGGGGTAACACTAAATATGCATCACGATCGGTTCGCACATTACGTAACACCACCACACGCTTGTCATGCATGTGTTAAATGCTATATCGCCCTTACCGGTTATATACGTAGACTCTAACGCTAAATTTAGGCTGATCCTATAACAATTATGGAATTCATATTCTCAACACTAACGCTAACACTAACGCTAATGCTAAACGTTATGTTTAAAATATTTTTTATTTTTAGTTCAGAGTGACCTAAAATTTACACCTAACTTTAATAACGTAGTTAAAAAAAACCATTTAATTCACTGAAACTTCAGACATTCTCTATCTGAATATGAATCAATTATATTTCGGGTTTATAACTTATCGTTATCGGACTTAGCCCCTGAAAATTTGATCGACATATTGATAATTAATTTTTCTTAATTTTTCGGGAATAAGATATAACGATAAATTTAAAAACCCAAAGTCTGGGTTTCCTTTTGTAGCATTTATGTAATAAATTGTTATATATTGCTATCAAAAAATACTAATAAACAGTTAAAAAAGGAATTTATTCGATGTTACTCGCTTTTAGCAAATATATTTGATATATATATATATAGTCATTCAGTAATTCAACAATTTTCATATGATCGATTGTATATGAAATTCCTATATAAGCAACCAATTAGTTATGCTAACTTTATTGAGATTTTTAAAGCGAATTCGCTTTGATGAAATATGATTGGATAATACTGGACTTTTGTTTTTCTACTACCCGCAATCCGATAATCTACTTAAAAAACCATTATTATGTTACATTTGCATGTGTCTCTATAATGTGACATAATATGTTCAACCTGTGTTAGTGTTTTGGTTTACCATTGGCAAAATCATCTGCACCATTGTTCCACTGCTCCATTTGGAATTTTTAATACGTACTGTCGACTATGGACATAACGAACTTCTATATATCGAATTCTGAATGCAACGAACTTTTTTATTTCTTCCAGAACCATCAGTTTGTTATAGAAAAAGTTGAACATATATAGAGGTTTAGAATAATTATTTTGTTATACATAAAAAAATTGTTTTATTCCGTATAGTAATGCATCAGTTACTAACCCTGATTATAGAGTGTCTTTTGCCCAGGATAAACATAGCAGACATTTTACATATTATATAAATTGTAGAAAGTATAAATTTAGATTCAGCACATAAGTTTTTAGTGTCAATTATAATGGTTTATTCAAAAAATAAAGTTTACTTACTGTCTCTATATTCAAACGTTTATCGCTCAAAATTACTTCAAATTATTTTCATTCATCATTTTTGCTTCCGCCTATATTATTTTTTCATAATCTATTATTAGATAAATACCATCTGATCGCCTAATTTAAATCAATGTTGTCTCGAATGGGTCATTATAATGAGATTCATTCTTTCACCTTTGCCAATATTTTGAAAAGGTTTCAACCATTTCTATGAATTGTGAAATTAGAAGTTTTTGCCCAAATTATTAAATCAAACTTTTTGAACAGCATATTGTTATAGTAAATCAATGCTATAGTAAATTTTGAAATTTTTTAAATAAAGGTTAGATTCCACAAATTTTCTAAATATCTATAAAAGTTTGTTGAGTGCATATTTAATATTTATTTATGTGCCATAAACAAAAGTATATATTGTCAGCAGATTTTAAATTTAGCTGGTAATAAATACACCAACCTTTGTGTCTAATCAGAGTTAACATGAAGGTTAAAAGCGCTACTAGACAATTAATAAACATAACCTATATTTGAAAATGAAGTATGCACTTATAGTGTATCGTTTTGGTTATCGTATTATCATTATGAACAAATACTATTGAATAGTGAAAAGGTGATTTTTTTTTTTAGAAAAAAGTAAATATTTATATTGAACATAAAACACTCTAAAGCTTTTATATTTTATCTGAAGTATTTTATTTCATTACATACATTTTATGTATAATTGTGCATGCGTACTATAAAAGTTTTATTATGTAAAGTTCATGTGTACCCTCTAAGCAGTGCATCCGACAATGCATGCAACTTTATCGAAACAGTTAATTAAAAAAAAATTCGGGTGACCGGATTCAAAATTGAATGTTTGCTCAATTTTGATGCGTGAATAAAAATTAATTTGCCTGAATCATAGAATACAAAGAAAATATATAAATTTGTAAAAAAAAAATTTGAATTATCCGATTAATAAAAAAACAATTATGCGCCAGCAAAATTGATTATACCATGCGTTTACATCTTACATACATAACTTGTTTCTTTTGAAATCGATTTACTCTTTCAATCAATTCAATTTGAACAGAGATTCATATCATTTTAATCTTATTTTTCAGAGTGTTAGTAGTTATTCCTATGTGATGATTTAGCATCACATTCGTGCCCCATGTGATTGTTTTCCTACTTGCCGCGATTTCATTTGATTTATTATTGACCTTTAAATAAAGAATAATAATGTTAAGTCTTCTACTTAATTGCCATCGTGATATAATTCTAGAGGTGTCTAAATAATATTGGTTAAGTAAATAACAATACATTATATCATATGAGAGCTGCCAAGTGAAAATCAAGAAGTCTAAAAATAGAATTCTTTAGACAACGTTATGTTAGGGTGATCATAAAACCAGAAATCAAATGATAGTCCCGACCACATATAAAATTTATTATATAAGGATTTTTTACAGGTTTTTTTAACAATTTCGGAAATTTCGGAAAATTAACTTTTCGCTTTATTTATCTAACAATTTATTCTCTTTATTTATCGAACAAGTAATTAAACAGTTTATCTGCTTCTATTTCACCAAACATTGCTTGTTTTTCAATATCTTGCTCACCAAATTTTCTTTTATTTCTTCTTTGAACAGCTAAATCTTCATCGGATAGAGATATTTGTTTGACGCCTGTAAGACGCAGTTTTGCTTTTTTAGTTTCAAGATTCATGTGCAAATGACATTTAAGATCATACTTGTTGAATAGACCCTTGACCTGTTGTGATGAATAACAATATAATAAATTCGACATTTAACAAATTCATATAACAAAGGAAAAAAATGAATTGGATTAGTAGAATTGGCAAAATTGAATAACTCTTGCATAAACAACAGGTCTTCTATTGTTTTTGACAAACCAAAATCATTAGAATTAGGTTTTTCAATGTCTGATTTCAAAAAAGTTGTATAACATAATTCTTTAAAGCTAGGAACTTCTTTTCATTGTTTTTGTAACTTTATATGAAGATAGTTTTTGGCAAATTCATGATCATCTTTATTACCTAATCGGCACATACTTAATGGAAGATGAAGCCACATACTCATCCAATTGTCTAAAGAATTTATAGTTTTGTCGATACCTAATTCTAAATTATTAAAAAATTGTCCAAAGTTTTTATTATCCAAAATATTAACAGCATCCCATAACTCTGTATCAAAAAATGAACAAACATTGTCTCTAATGCTATATAAATTTCTTATCTATTTAAAAAATGCATCAGGCATCTCATGGGCTCATCGACCAGGTGGAAGTGGTAATAATCTACCATCAGGTTGAAAAATCTGTGGTTCTTTGTCAAATCCAATAAAGAAATTCATCATCAGTTCATAAATTCTTTCTCCAAATTTTGCAAGACATTCAACTTGTATTTTTAGATACGGATCTATAAGCCATTGCTGAAGAAGTTCCCACTTTTCAAGATATGTTTTTGGAATTTTTTTTTGTGTTTTTAAATTGTTTAAAAACCAGAAAGCAAAATTTTCTAAATAGAATCTTCTTTTTACTAGCTGTCTTACAGCTTGTAATTCATACAACCATCACTGTCATAGGGGTTTTTGAAAATTAGTTAGTTGAATGCCGAAATGTTTAAAGTATAGGTCGAAAATATAGGAAGACTTCATATTCATTGGATTATCCTTATTACTTTCGTTATAACCATTATGTAACTTCCAAATAAGATAAAGTAATTGAACAGATGTTTTTGAATTGAAAATTCTTTTTCAACTTTTAATTTTCCAAAAGCGGCATTTTCAAAATTCATCAGTACTATGTGTGTTGCATGAAGTTCACAAGAAATTCGAAATGAGCTTGAGTTAACTTCTTTGTTAAATAATATTATAACACCATTCCTACAGCCTGACATGTATGTCGTGTTATTAGTTGTCTATGTTAAACATTTAGTTGGATCTAACTGATATTGGTTACAAGCTTTAATGACAGAATTTGCAACTGATGCTCCTGAACATTGAGCTAAGTCTTCAAGCTCTAATAATATAACTTTTGGTTCATTAATATTTAAATTCCAATACATAAAGTATATAACAAAAATTTTTTTATCACCACATGTTGATTCATCAGCCATAATTCTAAAACATTTAGAAGTTTTTGCAATAGCACATTGTTGAATTATATGAATATTTGAAACATCTTTATGCCATCCAACAAGTATACTAACAGAAAACTATTTATCTGGTTCTTCGTTTATTAACTACTCAATTACTTTCTTTGTGCAAGTTACGGCAGATCGATAAGACATTTCACCAATTTCACAAACTTGTGTAGCCATTGAAACAGTTCCAGCACTGTACTGTTTTTTATTTATCATAAGTCGATCTTGAATGGCTAATTTTAGTTACTTATTAGTAATCGTAGGCTTTTTACGTGCTGTGGAATGGGCTAAAGAAATCTTCTTTTTATGCATTCGCTCGTATTTTCTAATTCTATTTTGTAAGGATTTAGTTTTTTTTATTAAATGATTAACTTTTCAACTTGATGGTTTTCTAGATTTTGTAAGGCACTTTTTTGGATGATATAATGATTCTTCAATAAAATCATAGGCCTTTTGTTGTAGATACTTTGAGAAAATCTTTCCTGTTTTAGGTCTTTTATTATATCTCATAAGGTTTATCAGAGAAACTCCAAGACTCAACTCATTATCATCCATATTTATTGCCATATTTAATAATAAATCCCACATTTCTAAATATTGTTGTTGACGAAATTGCTCTTGTGAAACTTTTTTGATTATATTTATAAATGTTGTTAAAAATGAATCTGGTAAATCTATCGCATATTCTAAAAGTCTATCGAATTTTTGTTGTCTAATATCTATTTCTATATTTGACAGTCGTGAACTTGCTGATATATTTGATATATAATTGTAGTTACTATTACTTGTATTTTCAATTACACTATTATGACTACTATCTGATATATTTGATATATCTTTATAGCCACTATCAATTACACCATTATGACTATCACTTGTACTTTTAATAATATTTTTGACAACTTTATTTTCTTTTTTATAAAATTTTTGTTGTTTAAGTGCATTTTTCAAATGCTGCCGTTGTTTGAAATTTTTTTTAGATCGCAGCATTGTTTTAAATCACAGTAAAAAATTTTTAATACGACTTGCAAAGATCCCTTTTTTGAGTTAAGGATACAAAATTTTTATATCATGTTTTTTTTAATTTGTAACTTTTATCTTTCTCTTGTTGACAATGATCTCGGTTTATGAATTTTAATTGACACATTGTTTATTACAATTGAGTAAAGCTTGTTTACATTGTCAAAGAATTCACTACTCATAAAGGAAATAAACTGAAAAAATACCTTCATTAAATTATTCTAAGAAAATTAATATGTCTTTTTAAAAAAAATTCAACTGGCAATTATTACATTAGTTCGAAAGAAAACTGTACTACCGAAAGTCACTATTAGCCGCAGTAAATTCGGATTTTCATAAAAAATCTCTAAATAGTAATTAGTGCATATTACTCTGGCTAAACAGTAAAATGAAAGAGTCATTAATTTGCAAAAAAGCAAAAGGAATAGTTAGCCAAACAGTTACACTACTTATGGTTTGATTTTATTAGTTTGATGATCACCCTAACGTTATGTGATCAGAAAAAAAACAGTACAATTGATTATTCTAGTTGAAAAAATTAAAACACGCATTCTGTTACATAACAGATAAGAATTCTACTTTTGGACTTCTTGGTTTTCACTTGGCAACATTAGTATAATCACTCGGCAATAGTTGTATTATTCAAAATTATGATCCATTGGTTACAAAACAATACTTCACGAAATATATGTAAGGACGCAAAAAAAAATCCATGAAAACCTAAGAATTTCGTTTATCTCAAAATGGTACATGTCCGGAAAATTTTTACTTTTTGTAAATAAGTTCTATCATTATAAATTATTTTAAACCTCCATTAATTTTCTTGTTCCTTAAATTTTTTTTATTTTTTATTTTTTTTTTAGCTTAGTTTGGATGTTACAGTACCCGATGAATGCTTGGATATTTTTTCCAATCTAAAATTGCAAAAGATGTACAAATACATTTTGTACAAATTTTCTGATGACAAAAAAAATTTCGTTATTGATAAAGCAGTAGAAACGACGTCGCCCGATGAAGAGGACGGAACCAGTTATAAGGAATCATACGAGAAATTTTATACAGAAATTACTGGAAAAAATGTTCCTTATTTCTCTGTTTATGATTTTAATTATGAAAAACTTGGCGAGGGTCGTCGTAATAAAATCATATTTATTGCTTGGTATGTTATTAAATGATGTCAAATAAAATTTATGCTAAAATTTACATAATGTACTAATGTACTAATTATATTTGTAGGATTCCTACGAATGCCGATATCCAAGATAAAGTTCTCGCTGCTGCAAGTAAACAAGTATTGGGAACAAAACTTGGAATCACATTTCAAATAGAGGGAACCGAAACCAATGATATTGAATTTGAAACAGTCCTTGATAAAGTTTGTAGACTTAAGTGATTGCAATTGTTTTTAAAAAATCACTTCTACTTATAATGCGTAATTATAAAATTTTTATTATTAAACACTTCAAATTTATTATTTGAGAATTTATTTATATCAATGTAAATAAATTGTTTGAATTTTAATAAAATTAATAATCTGTTCTAAATCTGGATAATTTTTATATAAAAAAGGTTATAGTCAATATTGTATATTGTCACGAGATCATATGGGCAAATCGATTTTTATGTTACAAATTTTATAAAAAGCTATAAGAAATTATAAATTTTGAGGAACTATACTGCAAAATTTTATTAAGACAACTACTTTTGTGTCTTAAGTAAAAAATAATTCTAAATTAATATAAGTAAAAAAGTTAATTTTAAAAAATTTGTCAATTTCCGCCTTTTCTGTAGCACCTAGCCCATATGTTCACGTCAACAATATATGATGAGATCGAACCAAGCTGTGATTTTAAATAAACATCATTATCTTGCAGTAATAAGTAATTGGGACTAGTTTTATGATAGAGCTTTTTGCTCTTTGTTATAACATAGAAGACGTGTTCTTTGTTAAAACGTAGAAGGCGGTTTCATAAACATGATCGATAGAACCATGATTTTCATAATAGTGATTTTCGCCCATAATAAAAAAAATCGTAGAGCAGATTAAAATTAGTCGATTTTCTTTTAAAGTCGTCTGATCGATTTTATGAAGACCAAAATTGATATTAATATGTTTCTAAAATTTTTGATATATAGGTAAATTTGTCGTTTAATTTATCTGGGGCTAGTATATTGCCTAGGAATCATGTGTTCATACACTTCCTCAGCTAGATTACTGTTAGCCCCTGTAATTGTGGTATTATATGACTAAATAACTCAATGTGTAACTGCAATTGTCCTTAAACGTATACAATGGCATTGTTATGCCAAACTAATAAGAGGTAGTTCGATTGTAACAGTGAAAAAGTACAATTACAAGTTTTCACTCTGCAATAAGGATTGGAAACGCCTAAAAATTTCTTAGTCGTTTAATCGTTTAACCCTTTAATTTGGCCGGCATTAAAATAATTCCGGTCCACGACCAACATAATTCTGCTCGGAACTATGGTGCAATTTTCAAACGGTTTAAACGGTTCTAATCCCTACTATACAACATTCAAATATATTTTATATGTGAATTGTATTGTATATAACATACATAAAAGTAGTTTTAAAAGGGATAGTTGAAAAGAGTTGCCTTGTGATTCTTGTGATTATGATTCTTATGATAGTACAACAAAAAATATATTTTTAATTACGCCAACAAGATTGACGCAGCTCAATAAATTTTAGGGGAAAATGAAGAATCGCCGAAAATAGATTATCTTATATGTACATATTAGTACTAAATGTACTCTCCGGAGTAGGGAAATGATTTAAACCATTTGATTTTCAATTATTTATATCCAAATTCTGACTTTGAATCTCCGAGGCGTAATAATAAAAGATTTAAATCTGCTTTAAATTGATTTAAATAAAAATCAGTGATTTATATCATTGTGATTTAAATCACATGCCATCCCTACTCCGGAGTAAATAATTGTATACATACTCTAAGCCAACAGAATTTGCATAAAAAAAATTCTTCCTACACTGAAAAAATGATATGTATAACTATATCTATTATTTTACATTATTAAAATCAATTTTAACGTTCTCCGAGAATTCGAAATTCACGTTCTTATGCATTTTCCTATTATTACCGTTACCGTTAATGAATTTAGCATCGTCGGAAATTGAATTCCGTAACATAACTATAAAAAAACTATCAAAATGCATATGAATGTGAAATACTGGTTTCTTTGGCGTCATATGATTTAGACAAAATATATTTTGTTCAAATTAGGTAAATAAAGCCAATATCGATATATTTTGTTCAAATTAAGTAAATAAGCCAATATATCGAGTAAATTCCATGTTCTTTGTTTGTAGCATTAGACAAAGTACTGATAGATGATTCAAGAATCTTCCCTGCGATTCTGTGTCACGTTTTTTTTTTTAAAAAAAGGCATTACAATACTTTACCCCTCAAAAACAGTTACCCACCCTTAATGATTGTCAAAATTTGGTATTAAACCCGCTACACACCCGCCCTTGACGCCGCGAATGTAACGTTTCGTGTAACAATAGACTTTAGGCTCGCTAAAATAAAAAGAAAATATAAAATTAAACGGATCAGCATATTTATTATATAAGTTCTTTTTTTTTTTTATTACACTAGTCAAAATTTTTCTTCGGTGCTTTGCTTTCATATCGTGTCGTAGTTTCCTTTTTGGTTTACTGAAGATACGCCAACTCACATGACGTACCAACTCATTCTCACGAATAAAATAAATAAATAAAAGGGCTATCGCTATTGAGCAACAGTAAACCAAAATTATAATCTTAAATCAACTAATTATGTCACAAGCGATATTCAACCACTTGAATAGTAATCAACGGACAGCAACGAAGTATATAACATTTCAATGTACTAATGGCCAACCTTCCCTTTCAGGAGAGCAACTTAATATTTATGATTACAATTCTTCTGGACAACAACTCAATGGCGAATTGGATTTGGGAATTTTTCCTAATCTCAGAAAAATCACTTTTCCGCAAAATGTTCGATTTAATATTTTAGAAAGCATAGATATTAGTAAAAATGAAAAATTAAGCAGGATAGTGATAAGTGGACAAAATCAGAATTTTCTTGAAAATAATAGCTTTATTCTGTTGGCTAAAGAAATACAGCTTAATAGAATAATTGTATCTTACTATGTACTCAAGCAAAATCCAAGTGCATGGGAAAAAACAGAAAATTACTTAAGAAAACAAACAATTATACCATATATGGCAGTCGAAGATAAAAAAGTAGGACAATTAGAGGCTGAAGTTGCAAATTTAAAACAATCTCTTGCCCAGAAAGATCAAACCATATCTCAAAAAAATCAAGCCATAGCCCAAAAAGATCAAACCATAGCCGATTTAAATACAAAAACTCCTACACTTAGTCAATTTCAAGAATTAAGTAACATAGCTTTGAACTGTAATGAACTTGATTTTAATAAATTAAAACAAGAAATTAAAAGACTTAAATTGAAAGATTTTAATCCCTATTTCCAAAAGCAAAAAAATAACCTTGAACAATTAACATCTACCGCTAAAAATAAAGCAGGTGAAAGCTTAAATGGCATTATAGATCTGTTTTTGCAAACTAACAAACAAATTATTGAATCAGAAAACGCGGACAATAATTCTTATTCTCAAGGGCAGCTACAGGGACAACTTGTTACCTGTAAAACTCTTTTGCAAACTAAGCTTACCACGGAAGAACTACAAAACTTGCTAAATAAACAGAAAGAGTTTAAAGAGTTAGAAAAACACGCCGCTATTTTGCAGTAGTAAAGAAATAATATTACGCGTAAGGGAACATGGGCTTAGAAGATATTTGAATTTTATGGACAAATCTAATTGTAACATGATGTTACACACCTCATTTGTAACATCTTATTGGTATATCAAATAAAAATAACCAAAAATTCACCCTAACTACACGAGTGTTACGTTACGAATACATTTTTCTTATTATATTTTTGCTTTTTTTTTCATTATCGCCATTTTATTATTATTATGTTCTTATGATTAGAAAGGGATGAAAAGAAAATATTTAGTTCATGGGTGATTCACTTTTCTTAATTGCTTTGAAAGTATATACAAGCATGACCCCTTTTCAAAGAATTTAATAAGGATTTGAATTCATTAAATTTATAAACAATTTTTTGTATTTAGGAGGGAAAACAGACTAGTTTATCTCTTTAAATTTGGTCGTGTAGCATCTCGATATTAGTACTTAAGTACTAATATTAAAAGTGTCTAATAAATCTTGTTTACATGATTCCACTCTTCTATAAGTGGCTTAATAGAAAAGAGGTGTGATAAATTTTTTCTAAATAAATACCTGTTACGATTGCCGTTAACCTAAATTTATTTAATGTTTATCATTTTACATTCTGGAGTGTATTTCGATGTTAACCTCTAATACAGTTACTCCTCGAAATAGGGGTTTACTAAACAGTGGTTGGACATTTAAACTGTATTCTTAGATTCAAGTCGCAGTGTTTTTTATTGACAATAAAGAATGAGATGGCAATGTAGATTCTTGCAAAGTAAAATCTCTTCTGTATATATAATGTAATAAGGTAGCTTCGCAATGTAGTTTGCTAAGACTAATTTTACTGACTCAGACACTGACAGATAGGTTGAATGTTTTGACATTTTTAAGTAACCTTCGGTCAATAAACAAAGTTATAGAAAATTTCTTTCTATAACTATGTTTATTAGTTTTTATATTATTCTTTTAGTAATTTAAATGACTAAATTTTCTCTACACTGATCATTCAGTCCCATCTAAATCAAAAACTAATACATAAATTGGGAGACTTATCAAATATATTTATAGAAAATTGATTTTTCTACAATTTTTTATCTACTACAGTGCTAGTAGAAGACTAGTTAAAAATGACAATGTTTTACAAAACGTCAAAATCGGCTCACAATTGCTGCAAGACTGATTAAACATCTCTAGTCAGTTGTAATCTAACACGAACGTTTTCATTAATTAATAAAATTTGAGTAACATTTTCGAACTCATGTAATTGTATAACTATTTTCGGATCAATATTTGCAAATTCTAATGTGTTGCTAAAAGAAGAAATGCAACGTATATGCATGCACAATTTTAATTAATCATAATAAAATCATTCGGAATGAGAGTTAAAATATATAGTGGTCACAAAAAAGATCCGGAAATAATTGTACACAATTTCAAATTCTACAAACTGTGAGATTTGTTTAAGCCCAAGATAATAAGAAATGAACCAGCCATTCTCAAAATATTACCATTAAACAGTAGCAAATATTAATTTAGTGTTGGAAGTTAGTACAACTAAGTAATATTTTGTTAGCTTAATGTCGGTATCTCGTGAATGGTCAATCTGTTTTCAATAATTTCGATTTTAAACGAATGCTATAAACGTTAGCATTCATTCAAGTTTAAAATTATTGAAAATAAATCAGTATTTTGAGTTATCGTGCAAGCTCATATGATCATAGATTTTTTCCTTCTTGTTATTTTTTGTACGTTATCACGTAAGCACAACAATCCCACATTAAAACTCAGTTAGCCAACCATGACTCGTAAATCATGATCATATTTGCACGATAACATCGATATTGGATCATGCGATGATAAATATCATAAAATTTGTTCTGTTGGGGCAAATGATTGGCTGAAACGTGCCGCTACGCGGCACATGTCAGCCAATCATTTGCTCCGACAAAACAAATTTCATGATATTAATCGTTGCATGACCAATATCTTATACGTATTCTTATTTAAGATTTTGTTGCAATAGGTAATAATGAGAAATTATGTCATTAATCATTAACTTTGTTTTTTGAACACTCTTAATGATGTACAAGCTCACGTTGGTACGTCCTCATGTTCGTTCCTCACAATTTTATCAAGTGATCTATTACTCTTAAAAATTATGTAATAATATGTAATAATTCATAAAATATGTAAGGCCTAAAAAATACATATCGATTACATAAAAAATTACATTGCCCATCCCTAAATATATGGTTATCGCTATCCGAATTTTTTGATCTCCGAATTTATACAAAATTTTGGAAGATTAAAAATTCGGATGACCGTGTTATATAAAGCCTAATACATAGTTTATATAAATTTATATATCGAAAATTCGAATGACCGTGTATTAGAATTTATAAATCATGGTCATCCGAATTTTTGATTATCAGAAGTTTTTTATGTATTGTACAATACATTGGATAATCGAAAATTCGGATGACTGTGTTATACATGGTTATCTGAATTTTTGATCAAATTTGTACAAAATATCGGATGTCCATGTTATAAACTCTATCAAAATTCGGATGTCCGTGTATTAGAATTTATATATTGAAATCGGGCGTTACGGCGAGTCAGTCGCTCCACAATCCACAACTTCGTGTAACCTACGGTTGGCTTAGTCGAAAAGAGGCGTTTAGATTTGGTCGGTGGTTTGGGTCCGTAGGTAGGTGTTTCTTCTTTACTTGTCTTGTGTTTTCCTTCCCTTGAACTTACTAACTCTATTCCTCAATTACCTCACTACGTCGGGTAATTGGAACCACACTATCCTCAGTCCTTCGGGATAGTGGAACGATACTACCACGGCTGATCCTGGTACTTTAGGATACAACAACCGGATGGGGGGTAACAATACTACTGGATAGAACAGCTAATTACAAGAATCGGGTTTTATGGTCTGGGGATTTAGCGATTAGTTAATGTAGCAAGAGAAACGTTTATGTATTTATTATGATGTAGGGGGCCAGTTATTATTTTAATAAAACCAAGGACTTCTTCCCCCTTCTCTAGGGCCTTTACGGCCTTTATTTATCTTAAAATTCTTTATTTACATTTGCTATTCTACGTCTGCTACAACTACTACGTCT